TCTACCCTGTATACGTGCACGTATAACGCATACGTCTAAGAGAGTGGGAGGTCTAAATAGCTTTTTCGCATGTACCGGCGCAACAAAGATTATAATATGATATTTATATATATATATATATAAGTGTGTGTGTGTGTATGTGTGTGTGTGTGTGTGTGTATATTCAAACATAATATTTGAATAATTTATGTTTATTTAAAAGGTAAGTTGACGAAATTAAAAAATTAATTTCCAGCGGGTACTGCGGGTCGTTATCGGAGCTACAACGCTATAACAACATTATATTTTTAGGCACGTGGCGTACACTATATACTTTGCCGTATTATAATATTTATAATACCCACGCGGGAAAATACGATAATTGCCCCAGCTCCGTTGAAACGATACCTAATAATGTTTTAATATTTAATTTCCGAAACCCCGGGCGAAAAATGCGCAATTAACGCGTTTTATTGCGCGGGTGCTATTGTCAACGGTCTTTGAAAAACAACCGATGACATTACGGGTATTATTTAGATTCTGAGCGAAGAAGCCCGCAGTAATATTATTTATTACGGTTGCGTGCTAAGACGTGTACTCGGGCGGTTTTTTTTTTTTTTTTTTCATTTCCGACGAAAATGTTCCGATTTCTTCACGCCGTAATCATAAAAGACGCGGATTTTCCGACCGGTGTTAATAGATATTCGCGTAATTTCTTCAGATCACCAACGGCTTTTGTTTCTGTCGATTTCCGAATTACTTATTGCATATTTTAAGGTACAGGTCAGTTTGTCAAAACTAAGTGTGGAATAACCGTAATCGCTTCGTGGGTTTTCACAAAAATAAGATGTACGAATTCGATTTATAAAAAATCATTGTGCTTGAAAACGAATTATATTGATAGTACGACATTGCATGTGGTCCAGTATGTGACAATGAACCGGAACGCTCACGTGTAGGAGGGGAGCCAAGGAAATTCGAGAGATGATAAGAATACCGAAAACAAAATGCTGTGAGAGCATCGCGGAGAATCCAATGGTTTAAAGTCGAACACGTCATTATTAGATAGGAACCTAAAAATGGCAGTCAAGTGAAAACCTCCTGACTGGGAAAAGACCGAACAAAAAATGGATGGATTATGGATGGATGGACGAGTAAAACAGGACCTGAAAAAATTCGGTTTGGTGAATTGGTATGACCAAACCAATACACGGTTAGTGAGAGAGTACACAATTGTGATGGGCGGAAGGCAATATCGGCAGCGGCAATAACTGTTGAAAAGTTATGAGGCCAGGGAGGAAAAGAAAATGATGAAGAATAGAACTTTCGGAGCATTTTTATACCGTACAAAAACGTTAAGACGAAAAAGAAAAAAAACTAATAAGTTCTTATTTATTTTTTTTTCTTTTGCACAAAATCTAACGTTAAACCGTACTCCTATTATTGTAGTCTAGGTCAATACTGATTAGATATTTTATAGCCTATAGCGTTTGACCGTTCTTATATTGATAAAATACTGGTTTGTTTTTTTATTATGTACATAATACTCACTGCTCAGGTTTAGCACAATAAATAAAAACGGAATTGTTATTTGAACGGAATCGATTTTGTCAAACAGTCATTATATAAATATTATTGATATGTTTGTGTAACATTTCAATTGTCTTTAACGTCGTAACTCAATATTTATTCATACGAAAATGTAATAAATAATAATAATTATTGTGTGCCGGTTTCAACAATTTCAAAATCTAATCTTCAAGAGTTTCTAAAAAAAAAAAAAATCTTTTTTCAAAAAATTTCAAATTTTAAATTCCGAGCGTAGCTAGGGAGCTATTGGTTTGATTAAGATGTTAACGATTTTTTTTTTCTTCTTCTAGTCTGTGGACACGTTTTCTCCTCGTAAACTTGCTCCGAGTTTCACGTGTAGCAACTTTATTTTTTGACTTTCGAAGCTCAAGTGGGAAAAAACGTAGGAAAACGTACACAGTTTTACGATTTCATTATTTTATATAAAAACACAGATTACGTTTTCTACCAGAAAATATGATTTAATCAAAAACTCACAAGACACCATTTTGGTTTCCTTTTTAATTTACTTTTGGTCTAAACTTTTAAGCCACTTTCGAGCTTTTAATGAATTTTAATTTTTGGGAGTTTTTTCTGTAATTCGGTTATTAATGCACGTAAAGATTCGAAACTCGGTAATAATACTTATATTGGACTTTTATAGACGTGGTAAAATTTCCAAAATCATCGGGCGATTTTTTTCATTTTTTTTAATAAGCGTTTTGAAATCGAATTTAAACGAAAATCGCAAAAAAAAAAAAAAAAAAAAAACAAAAACGACGGTACTTTAAATTGTGTATTACCGAACTGTGTTCGGAATCGTCTTTCGTCATGCAAAGGTTTATCGTTGCTTACATATATAAACGAAATGATACCTTACGTGTCCTACCTGCTCAACTTCTCGCCTACAACAGTGGTCGCTCATATGTTCAGTATCAGATATCTTTTTAAACGCGGAATACGGACAAAGCTAAAAAAAAACACCATTTTCCTCCCGCGATAATTCGGTGAAATTCATATTGAAACTCGAACTCGAACTATTAGCGCTTCGATCCGTCGATGGTACAAAACGGAAACACGGAATCCCGAGTTCGAGTTCAAATTTCCGTTGGAGTCGCTAAAAGTATTCAGAAAAAAAAAAAACCGGGTGAATGTGTATTTATATACACATTCACACAACAGACGCGATGATGCTATAGTTTTCCCGATAAACTGGTCATTTTTTAAAAAAAAATATTCGCCGATTTTCGGGTCATCTATATTTGCGAATATGGAAACAACAAGACTCACGATACTTTGCACAGAATCGTTTTTCTTTAGCGCGCGTCGTAATCGTCGGGTACGGATTTAAATCGGAATATTTTGTTCGTGCTGTCTGTCTAGGTGGTTATTGCAGTTGGGCGTATCACTGTTGTAGGTATAGACGCGCAGATGTGAGAATTGACTCACGACTCACTCACCGCGGCGGCCTACCCGCGGGACGGAGAACGGCCGGCTCTCTACAGTACATTGCCGGTAATACTCAGTGTCAACGAAACCAAACTGAACGCGCGCACCGGTCGTCTGGTCGTCTGTGACCACGAATTTGTGTTGCCGAACGTTTCGTACGCCCCGCGAATGTAATTCCGCGGACATTAAACACCGTCGGTGCGAATAAACGTGACGATTTTAACTGCGCCGCGGCGTTTCGGTATTTTATCGCGGAAATATCACGGGTTCGCGTCCGCTGGTAAATACGCGATATTTTCCATTATATCGTTTTCAATTATCTACGCCGTTTTTGTTTATTGTTGCCGACCACTGCCGCCGCTGTTATTGCCGTACATTACCGTACGCCCGTTCATAAATATTCAGTTTTGTCTCCCCCCCCCTCCCCCGCGCCGTAAAAAGTACCCGCGCGCAAAATAATGTTGTAACACAGTCGGCAGTACAGCACACGCGTACGGTAGCGGCGCACATAATACATAATAATTAATATTGTTACACAGCGTGCACGAAATGCACACTCAATATTGCGCGCGTAGACACGCCGGAGTATTATATTATTATGTATTGTCCGGAAACAAGTGGTCGATTATTACGTTATTACGTTAATAAAAAAAAAAAAATACGGTAATTTTCCTAGCAGTTTGCCATGTGTTTGCGCTGTCGCGAACACAATACTAGCGCAGCGTTCTGCAATTTTTCGCGGACGATAAATTTAAACAATAAAATAATGTATTGTACAGGCCGTCCCGCGTAGATATCTCCGGAGACTGTAGCGCCAATCAAATTCTGAATTCTTTTTTTTTTTTTGGTAAAAAAAATTATAAAAATAACTTTTTATTTTACGATTTTTGGACAATTTCAAGGTATTAGAGTTAATTTTTCTACGTTATTCTCTAGATAACAACGGTTTTCACACGTATTAGCAGAATTTTAAACGGCCGTTACATAGAAACTATTCGTCGGACATGAATGTGTAATGCATACAAATGTTCAGAAAAATAAACTCTACAGAATGATTGTCTCAAAATTTTTCCAAAAGAAATAAAATAAAAAGTTATTTTTTAAAATTTTTTATTAACAAAACAAAAAAAATGGCCATACAAATATAAATATCTGTAGCCTTCATCCCTGTGAATAGTACATATAAAAAAAAAAAAAAAAAAACCAGAATTCGGTTATCTTTATTATCTCCGGAGATATTCAAGTGGTATGCCTTCGTGGTGGGAAAGACCGTGTATATTAACAACGGTAGAACCGCTTGCGTCTTCAGACTCGTTTCAATCGTATTGTATTTCGTTTTTTTTTTTCCATTTAATTATATAGAAACGAAAAGCCGGCTGTCAATTTCATCACGCGATCGCAATAATATCCCGTTCGTAATCGTTTGTATAGGATGGGGTACATACATAAAATAATACATACGTCAACGACGTTCGCGTCGGGGGTAGCGAATCGAAAATTAAAAAAAAAAGAAAAACGTTCGCGCGCTTTACAATATTCTAAATGCGTGACCGCGTTTTATTTTTCTATTTTTTTTTTTTTTTCCTTTTTCATTTTCCCTCGTTTCCATTTCTCTCTCCGTCGCCGACCGATGGGGTTTTTCCGCGCGTTTCGCGCGCGCTATCATTCGGACGTACGGCGCGCGGCGCCCGTCAAAATTGTATTGCAATAAAAAAATATGTCGAACGATAAATATTTTATACGATAATTCGTAACGTGAAACGGGAGAGAGAGAGAGAAAAAAACGGGGAAAAAAACGCAAAAACTTTCGCCGCATTACTGCCCGCTTTACGGCACTACGCGCGTACCGCGTACAATTTTCGTTGCCGCCGTTACGCGCGTTTTACAGCGAAAAATTAAATAATTTACAATATAATATTATTGTATTCGTACAACACACGATATTAGATTTTTAAATTTTTCTTACAATTCGGTCTGTTCAATTAAAAAAAAAACACATCGAAATGAAAAGAAATAAGCCGAATTCGTCACCCAAACCCAAGAGACGAAACTCACCAGCGCCGAGACCTCAGTCTCCACCGCCACCGCCGGGAGAGCGGAAACAGCGTGGGGTGTTTGTCGAATCGGCCGCTATGGCCGGGGGTATTAGTACCGGTGCTGTGGTCGGACGGACTCTCGGCGAAGGAGCAGTGAACATTTTAACCGGACATAATAATACGAGTGCGGATCAATCGAAAAAAACTGAAAAAAATGTCGATCCGTGTGCTCGTACAATCCATGAATTTTTGAACTGTACTCTGAACAGCGTTGATATCGAGTCGTGCACCGAACTGAACGAGGCGGTTCGCCAGTGCAAACGAACCTACGACGTGCAGATATAAATCAGATATGATACCGGACGATTCGTTTGACGTTTTTGTATTATCCGCACGCCCGTTTTTTAATGATTAAAAAATACCATAATAAAAAGCCCGTCATCCTGGCACCCACACTTTGGAATTCTAAAACCAAACCAACGCCATTGTTTAGTGAGGAGTTATTTGTAATTGTTCGTAACCTTCGTTTTCGCATTTATAACCCCGAGAAAAAACACATTTTTATTTCCCGGGTGCTGGAACGACAGGCATCCTCCTGTGGCACCCGCATCGTCTTAGATTCGTCCAAACGAAACCCGAACCAACGCCGTTGTTTAGTAAGGTATTTGTAATTGTTCATGACCTCTGTGTGCAAAATGTGTGGTTTACCTCATTTGTTTAATTATATTACAATTATAATAACAACGACTGTTTTCGGTTCTAGGATATTATAATAATAAAACCCATTCATTTTAAAGCAAAGATTATGTCGATTGCTTATCGTGCATCATCCATACGTTATCTCCTATTCGGAACAATATAACATCCAATAACGGTTTTCTCAAAAATATCACGAGAATATTGGTACTTAAATATTGAAATTAATATAAATAATATATTATCATTATTTTTACGAACTTTTTAGACATTTTAAATAATATAACAAATGTTTGACATTGTACGCGAACTAATTATAAAATATTATTATAAGCTTATGATTGTTAATAATTATGCAATTTAAAATGTATTAGAGTTGCACATTGAAGTCGGATAATGGAGTATCGGTCAAGGGTTTACTTTTTCTTAATATTCTTCAGTGGAAGCCAACTCTAAAGAAAAAAAAAAAAAAAAAAGAGAAGCAAGGGGGAATATTAATAAAATACATTTTTGCTGTTCGGGACACTGTTCTAGTTTTGACAGAAGTTACAATTTCATAAATAAAGAATACAAATAGTTACAAATTCCTTACTAAATAATGGCGTTGGTTTGGTTTTAAAATTCCAAAGTGCGAGTGCCAGGAAGACGGACCTAATAAAAAACACACAGTTCAACTTACTATGTCATGGTGTAGTTTTCGTTAGCGATATACAGCCAGTGACGTATTTTCAAACTTTTTGTAGGAAGGGTTTAAACGTTTTCTAAAAAAAAATGTTTTTTTTATCATTGACGAATAATTATCTCGAAAAAATGTAGGTAAATTTGATTTATCCTTTTTTAAAATCTCTGCACAATTGTTTAAGTTTTATTTTAAAAACCATTTTTAATTTTCGACCTCTACCCCATAAATTTAATTTATAAGTCTTCCCTATTCCTCCGGTCTAAACTTTATACATTCATAACCCAGAAATCCGATATTATTGGTTATGCATATAAAAATATACTCTTTTCGAATCTGTGTTCCAAAAGGGGAGGGATTTCCACTTGAAAAACAAAACCATATTCTTATTTAAGGTATATGGAAATAAGGGCAAAAAATTAAAAATGGTTTTAAAATAAAGCTTAAACGATTATACAAAGATTAAAAAAAAAAAAATAAATAGAAATCAAATTCGCTTAAAATCTTCCGAGATGATTACTGGTTAATGATAAAAAAAAAATCACTCTGCATAAATTAATGTTTTCTTTCTCTACCTTCGTAGCGAGTCATTTGTGACTTTTGAACCATATTTTTTCTTCGGGGTGGTCGAGACCAGGGAACCTCTCCGAAAGTCCGCCACTGTCTACAGTGATTTGTTCTTGTAATATTTGATTATTTAAAAACATTAAAGCAAAAACGCGCAGTTATGATTTGTTCAAAATATCAATGCACTAAATGACGTTGGCCCTGCTTTTTATCTCGGTAATATTATACGGAGAATATAAAAAAATATACAATACTAAGTATACATTTAAATTCAACTTTTCGAAATTTGACAGTTACCGCGTTGCCACTACTATTGCCACCAACATAACCATCGAAACAAACATACCTAATTGTTTGTTGTTGTTTTTTTTTTTTTTTATATATATTTGTTGTCGATACTGAATAATCACAATAAACATAATAATAAAAACACATTTTTGTCGATCAAACCTACTATAGATAACACGCACTGTAACACCGATCGTTTTATTCGACGCGATTTATATTGTATTATTACTATACGAACATTGTACATTCGGTACGATGATTTTCTTTCCATTTTGTATATATCATGAACTACGCGCACAATGCGAATTTCGTTACATCCCGAATAAACGTGCAGCTTGTGCATAATACTGCGATGAGTACTATAGTAACGCGGTGAATCTACGATTCATAGCTGAACCATTCAAACCGGCCGAGTCGAAAATAATATGTAACTCTTTAAACAAATACAATGCGAATGTTCCAATGTCGTTAACAGCAGAGACGAAAACTGCTGCAGACACGCGATGATATTGCTAGTATAATATTATAATGCATTGTTTGTAGGATTGAAAATGTCTGCGTTTTTATTAAAAAAAAAATAATAATAATAATAATAATTAAAAAAATTCTATTTAAATAATTGAAAACGACCGAAAATGTATTGTATTTCGTAAAAAGATTTATGTTAAATAGAGTTGAATTTAAAATACAACAGACACAGATTAATTCGATCGAGTTTTAAGTTAAAAGGCTAAAAATAAATGGTTAAAACATAAAAAAAAATAGACCTTAAAACGGGCGATACTGCAACAAAGAAAACCACCGTTTTGGGAGGGAATTCGGGAAGAAGCATAAATAAAATGATTTAATTTATATCCGTACGCAACTATAGATCATTGCTAACGAAAAACGATTCTGGTATTAGCCATTTTTCTTGTCTTATTCACAAAGTAATCCAGAAATCAACAAAAATTATACGTAAAATCTCTAGTGTATTTAGAAAACTAGAACCATAATTACAAGACGACTTTGTCAACGCGCTAAATATATGAAAAATTTTACATTAAAGTGTACACAAATTTTTTGAATTGGACGAGATTTTTTTGTAGAAAACATGTTAGAAAAAAAACATTATAGTAGAACCAATATTTTTCTTTCGTCTTTCCGAATCTAGAATATTGTGCAATACTAAAAGTAAATTTCTATGATGTTGAGCGCAGCATGTAATGTATTGGTTTTATTACGATTGCAGTTTTTAGATTCAAAATCAGTATCTCAACGCATATCACTTTCGTAACGAATAATGTCTTTAAATTCATGTTCATCGTAATATTGGTTTTCGTATATCCATTCTCGTACCCCGCCACTCCGATTACGTCGTTTTACGTTTCCTTTCCCGTTATTTTTATAATCACTCTAAATTCCCGATAGTTTTCCATAAAAATGAAAAAAAAAAAAACCGAACGAAAAACACCGGATACATTGATTTTATGTTAAATTTGTTGATGTCCGGGTTCGTTATAACCTAATCTAGCCCACAATGAAAAAAAAAAACCACGACTAACGAAAACTACGACGGTGCGAAATATGCGCAGCATTATTTTTAAAAACGTGAATTTACAATTTAGACATTCTTAATTCTGTTTACCTACGGGTAAATATAAAGTTGCAGCAATTCCACGTGTTTCAATTTGTGTATGCACAGAAGTGTACCTAGTAGCAAACACTAGACGAATGCGATATTTCGAAATTTATTAACTCGGTTCTTTTTATATGAATGACAAAAAAAAAAAAAAAGGCTTATTTACTGCAGTGTCTGTTTTGATCGACCGACGCATTGTCGGCGTATGTAGTGAATTGACAGCGGTATAGTGATATTCGAAAGTCACGACAAGGAACCGTAAGTTTTTTTTTTTTACGACACACAATAAACCGATTGGTACGTTTGTCGTGGTTCGGTGACATATTGTTCGATAAAAAGAATTTCGAAAATAACAATTCAACGGAAAGAACGAATGCGAAAACTCAATGGCTTTCCGTTGTCAATGATGGTGTATAATACAAAATAATGTCACCGGCCGCGTACACCGAACAATTATTAAACCCGAATGTAAAACGATAAACGCAATTGTATAAATACATCGCGGTCGTATTTCATGAACTCGGGCGAAAATTCGTTGAAGAATGAAATCTTTTTATCGGTTTGAAGCCAAAATCGTGCTTGAGCGTATTTTAACAATCGGTATTTCGTCTACGTCGCGCGGCTTTAAGTGACTAAACGAATTTAACAATTGAAAACGATAACGATATTGCAAATGTCAAAAATGTTTTGGTCTAGTTTTGCGAAGAGGAAAACGTTTTTGTGATTTTCCAATAGATTTTCACGATAATTGCGGAAACCCGATAAAAAAAAAAAAAAAAACAAAACAAACGTAGACACACGAAAACCGAACGTTTTTTTTTTTTTGTTGCCACGTTCCGGGCATATTTCAAACGAAAATAAACGAATCGAAATACACACCACAAATTCCACGCGTACATTTTATTATATTTTTATTCGGACGGCATAATATACTCGTACCGGACAGAGACTCGGATTTTCAGACTATTCTCGAGTTCCTTTTATTGAAACAATTTCAATTGGCGAACAATCGTCGCCCATGCATAACAGAAGAAACTCTTCGACCAGATCACCGGCGCCGCAAAGCCGGTCTTCATCACCGCGCCGCTCGAACCACCAGCCGCCGCCGCCGCCGCCGCCCCCTCCGCCGCCCCCTCCGGCAAAAAACAAACCGCCCGGGTTGTTGGCCGAAACGGCCGCACTGGCCGGCGGTGTTGCCGTCGGTTCCACCGTCGGGCACGTTGTCGGTCAAGGAATATCGCACGTCCTAACTGGCGGCAATACGAGTAACAAGAGTAACACCGGCGCGGATACCGGATACCGACCGGCGGCATCGAACGATCCGTGCGCTCACACAATCAAAGAATTTTTGAACTGCACCCTGAACAGCGTCGACATCTCGTCGTGTGCCGAACTGAACGAGTCCGTTCGCCGGTGCAAAACAGACAACGCGAAGCTATGATTCAGCTATGGCGCCGGACGATCCGCGTAACGGACCCGTCGTCGGGGCGTTGGCTTGTTTTAGAAAACAATTATTTTTTTCAAACTCGAAAAACGAGTAGCTCTAAAACGTAACGTTATCGTTTTTTTTGTTTTTTTTTTTTTTTTTTTTTTTTTTTTTTTTTTTCGGCGGTGAAACGACCGTCCACTATCGATTTTAAAATGACGACCTGTGTTGACAATTCCATAAATAGACGGAGTATTATTTTAAATATATTCTGGTCCGGGGTCGTTTTCGATTTTCGGCCGCCCGTTGACGAGATATCGCCCTTATCGTTCGGGTAGTTGGACAGTAGTCGAACGCCGTGCTGCCTCACGAACTGCGCACCACCGTTCTGGCCTTCCTAAATTTTAAAGTACAATACCTCGTCAACCGGTTAACGGAAATCGGAAATTTGTTTGACGAACATTTATTTAGACTAACACCATAATTTGTTTGTGGAATTTATAACGTAGGTTTTCATTTCACAAACATAAATAGGTACCACCTCCTATTCGTTTCACCCCCCCCCCCCCCCAAAAAAAAAAACAATTGCGAACAAAAATGACGGTTATGCAACATTTTAGAATAACTTGTTTTTAAATTTTCCAAAAAAAAAAAAAAAAAAAAACTGATTTGAAAAATGTCAATGCTTTGCTGAATGACGGGTGTTGTACGTTAAATTAATCGACTTGCGCGTGTGTACCGTTTGAGAAAATCGAACGCTTCAAGAATTATAACACAGTGACACAATATTATTACACGCGTTTAATTATTATTATACTATCAAACGACGCGCTTCTGTAGAGTGGATGAATTTATCTTATAGTTGACGATACCGTTCTCCTAGTGTAAAAGGGATCAGAATACTCCCGCGCGCCTATCGTAAGAGGTGACAAATGGCGTTGCACCGGGTCGACGTTAAAATATGCAATTCGTTGATGCCGAGCGCGGTGAGTAATGGGATTCGTTTTACCATCGTGCAATTTTTTAGATTCAGCGAGGCATCTCCATTTCGTAACTATTAATTCCTATAAATCCATATCCATCATAATGCGTTCCATTTGTTTCGCGTGTACTCCGTCCTCGGTCAGCCTCTTCGGTTACGATCTTCTACTTCCCCTTCCGTGATGTATCTCGTCTAACCGTACCGTGATGCTCTACCGTTCGTCGCACCGTTGTTCAACCGCGTCCGCGCGTCACTATTGAAATACACCCGTGAATAAATGCGGGGTCACGTTGTTTTATTAAAATAACTCTAAAATCGCATTTGTTTTTGCAGTAGCGCTGTGACGTCCGAGTCACGCGGCGCGGCGCAACCGTGTGTAATTACACTATACCAGGGTCGGCCGGTCGGTCTCGCGGTCGTTCGGTATAAACCGTAATGTTTTGTCCCGAGAACGTATCGTTAAAGATTATCGTTCGGAAGACGAATAAGAGCGGACGACGAGAAGAACAGAAAAAAAAAAAAAAAAACCCCCTCGAAACGGATGTTAGAAACGGTCGAAAACGTCGCGCTCGTTTGTCTCGCGGACGAAACTGCTAAAGTAAAAAAAAAAAAAAAAGAGAAGAAGAAAAGTCCAAACGATATTCGTTGTTTATCTTTCGTGTACGAATCATCGGCGTTCTGATTCTTTTCTCTTTACTTTTTCAATAGTTCAATCGTTTGAAACTCGTTTGTTGTGTAATAATAATTCGCAAAGGGGCTATTAAACAAAGGTAATATATATATATATAATGTCTTTGAAAACACTTCCCTTATTAAATTATTTTGCCACGGATGTTTAAACACTAAAATTTATTTCGAATTGATGTCTCGCGTGATACCTGGATAAACGTTACAACAGTATATACGGGTCGTGCATTAAATTTATAGACGATAATAATTTCTAAAAGTAATTCTCTATAATTTTTTTGAAAATGATCACCTAAGGAACTTTTTACAAAATCATAGTTTAATTTCGAACGAAATTCGATTAAAAATACGATTACGCGATGTAGAACTCGTATTATTTTCAAATTATTGAACCCCATTAATTGCCATTCATGACGACTTACGGCGTGTTAAATTTTCGTACATTTTTTGCACGGCCGAAACAATGTTATTCAAACAGAATATAAACTCAGCAATTTCGAGAAATCGCCGCCATAGTTGATGGCGGGGTCAAAATTTCTGGGAGAACAATTGTTAACAGACCGGTGAAAAAAACACACTGGTAACGCTTAGAATCTAAATAATGTCCGCGGTTTACGATACTTTATCGGCATGTCATTGTCAATTCGCCATAATTTTGTATTTAATTTACGTTGATAGTAATACCAACTGCAGCTAAAGCCATACAAATTGTAATTAAAACCCCGTTTCAATGTAAAAAAATTATTATTTACTACGTATTTATGTTCAGTTAAAAAAAAAAAAAACCAAATCTCGTTTCAATTATTGAGTTTTAATTAATTAAAAATTAACATTTCGATAACAGTTCCAAGTTCATCGGTATTCCATTGAAATCCGTTGTACACCGTCCGGTAAAAAAACGATTTTAGACGTCACACGAGCAGCAAAAAGAACGAAACGTATTTAGGGCCCTTTGTAATATTATTTATCCCCTTTGGGGGAATAGCGGTGATTTTTTCCGCGTAGGCATTTGCGCAATAATTATTTTCGGTTGCCCGACGTGCGCGGCATCATAACATCACGAGATTATTGGCCGGGAAATGCGACCGGACGCGTATTTCGGAACACCGCGAGCTCGGTAATAGCGCCATAACGACGTGGCGAAATACGAGACGGGGGGCTGAGTGCGGTGCGGTTTTAGGGGAAGGCGCTGCGCAGGGAGGGAGATCTTCTCGGAATTACAGATGTCTCTCGGAGCAAATGGCAAAAGTTTCCGCGTCGACAGCGACGCGCGTTCGGCCGGAGGTAGGCGACGGCGGCGACGAGATGAAACGCGCGTTCGAACGGCCGACTCCGGCAAACGCAACGTAATCGATTTCGACTACTGTTGTCGTTTAACGTGCCCGCCGTGTAATAGTGTCTGCCGCAGTTTCCTTCCCCCCCCCTCTCTATCGCAAACGGCGCTCGGACCGTTTGCAATAATCGCAAGAGTAGTTATTATAACGCCGGCCGTAGGCTTAGATCTCCGCGTGCGATTTTCATCCGGAACCGACCGTGCCGGCCCCGTTCGTCGTCAACGCGTTAGATTTTGCGTTCGAAAAAAAAAAAAAAAAAAAAAAAATGAACTAGCGGAAAAATCGCCTTTTCGGCCGTGAACGGTTTAAAGGATTTCCGCCTATCGAAAAATCGGTCGCACGTATACGAAACAAATGTATTCCTCATCATCGTGGTCCGTTCGAAACCACCAAACAACCGTCGTCTTTTACTTCTTCTGGGCACTTCGACCGTGAACCACTCTCGCCACTGTTTTACTGTTTTACTACCGTTGGTATGCTGATATTTTGGCAATTTTTTTTTCACGTGAGGCATTGTTTTTTTTTTTTTTTTATAGCGCATACATTCTGTTGTTTACTGTTTTTACAAAGAATACGTTTACACTGCGGTCTTAAGTCTCGAGAACTCGAAATCCACGAAAACTCAAATTATTTTTCTCGCCCCTTGAAGAGTTGAACTCGTATAAATAAGTGAAACATTAAACGAGCGGGCCGAAATTTCCACACTAGTAACAAACCTCATTCGCGGGTGTTTTTGTTATTTTTTTAATATAAATAACGCGATGTTATCCATTTTGTTTTCGTACCGTCGGCTGTATAAAAAAATATTAGGTTAGGTTCTATATATACATGTACGCTACTATGTTACTCGTGTTATTATTACGGCCGTCGGTTTCTTTGTCGAGAGAACACGCGATCGGCGAGGTCTGCGTCGAGCAAAACACGTATTTTCAGTAACGATATTTGCGCACACTTTCCGTACAACACGATATTATTTTCTATAACTCGCGTTCGAAATATTCTTCTCTCGTGCCGCAGAATTCCTTTGAAAACCCGTCAGAAGACGTGGGGCGTTCTCTCGCGCGATATTCATCTCGAATGCTTCTGTATAATAACATAATAACAATATTCCGGTGGTTTATAGCCGGTTACGGGTTTTAGCAAGGGTCGGTCCTTTGATATTTTTTTTTTTTAGTGATTCGGACAACTTTGTGTTTTGCAGCGGCACGCGCCTGCAAACGCCTACGACCACGGCGGATGCCGGATATGCCTTTATATAAAAAATAAAAAAAAAAACCGGCGATCGTTTTTTTTTTTATTTTCCGTTCGATTCGACCTCGTTACGCGCACGCAATAATTTCGGTCGTTTTCTGATGGAGGGAATAATATCGTATTTTATTGCGGTACGAAAATCTATAATTTCGCAATATTTGCGCGACAATGTTTGTTTTGACATTTTATTCTTATCGAACGCTCGTCGCAGTGTTTTCGATTTCCTTTTGGTTAAAGACTGATTGGGTTTTAACGGTTAGACGATTTGGATTGAGGCGGTTTTTTTTTTTTTTTTTTTAATCATCCAGTAGATTTTTTCACAACAATAAATATCGTTCGAATCCGTTTGATAATACGTATGTAAATTTATCGGGCGAAAAATAAATTCATATTGATATAATGCGTGTGAATTGGAAATAAACCCGTTCGCAAATCGAACGGTTTCTTGGCGATATTCGGAACAACAACAAAAAAAAAATCTCGTTGGACGCTAATGATATCTACCACTATACTGCAATAGGCGCAGAAGTTTGCGCGTATTTCTCGAGGGAATCGTTTGAATATTTTGAAAAAAAAAAAAACAATACCTATGGAACCCAATTAACTCGGTTTTGCGCGTCTGATATCCGAACGCGACAGGACCGGAATATTATAATTAATTTCCCAGCGTAGCGCATAAAAACGTACAAATCATTTTAGTTTTTACATCGTTTTGGATTCTGAACGCAGCAAGGACACCTATGGTTTCCGAATCGTTCGGG